ATAATTTTCCAAGAGAAAACTGCTGTTTTATATTGCTTTATAACAATCCAAAATCCCCAGATCATAGGTTTAATGCCATCTGCATTTACTCGTTTTCTTGGAATGTTCCTTGTTACATTTAGTATGTCCTCTGTAACAACTTGTCATGTTTTGACAGGGAACATGGTTGCTAACCATTCAAGTAACTTGAGCTGGGAGAATGCCACCTACCTTCAGTGTAGTTGGATTAGAAATCAAGGATACAGTCCTGTTGTCACCTTGGAGGTTAGAGCAGACACAACTCTTATGGTACTGGCCTGGACATTTGGCACAGTTTTCAAACCAAAAGAAATAGGACATTCTCACAGATTTCCTAATCCTCTTAAAGGATCATGCCTTTCACCACCAGTAAAACCAGTTTGTTTTAAAATCTGCAGATGGAGTTCACTGGGGGCCGAAAGAATTTAAGGCAACAGAAGGACAGAGGGTCCTCCCCCCGCCACCGCCTGCGTGTCCTGGGTTCTTACTCTTGTCATCTTCCTTCCTCTTGAAGAAATGAATCCTTTTGAATATTGTCTGCTGGTGTAATCTTAGACCTTTATCTATAAGGTTAAAAAAATTTTCAAATCTAAACCACTGCAGTGGTTTCCATTGACTTTCTTTGAACATGGTTTCCTGTGAGGGCCCATGTGGGTGGCACAGCCCACGGATAACTCACAACCCCTTCCTCCATGTGGGTTACTTTATCTCTTGGATAGTTCTACCCAGAGGGAGAGGCTGAATTAACATCTCTGTCCTCAGACAAAGCTGTGATAAGGACCCCTTTTGTACTAGCATTGCCTGTTTTATTTGTTGAGACCTCAGTGCTCAATTTTAAGGCCAAATTGAAACCTTTCCCTGCGGGAGTCCCCAACTGCTCCCCACACACTACCCACAGTCAGGTGCTGGACGCAGACCAGCTGATAAGGTGGATGAGCTGGTCGTCCTATGCAGCACATGTCAGCCTGATGTTACTTTTTCCTAACTGTGGTGTACAACAGTAGTTTAAGACCCACATGTTTTTCTGCTAAACAATTAACATTAAATAGCAAATAGTGTTGATTGTATGCTATTTTAAAATATTCCAATATGTGGAGCAGGTATTTCGTTAAAGTACTGCTTGGGGTGCCCACATCCTGTATCAAGAGAGCTTGAATTCTGAGTCTCTGCTTTCCTTCCAATTCCAGCTCCTTGCTAAGATGTACCTTGGAAGGCAGCAGCTATGACCCGGGTCACTGGGTTCCTGCCATGGGTGTGGAGGCATGGGCTGAGCTCCGGACTGCTGGCTTCAGCGTGGTCTCTTTTTGGACATTTGACTGTGACATTTGTAGAGTGAACCAATAAATTATCATCTCTCTGTCTCTCTCTCTCTCTCTCTCTCTCTCTCTCTCTCTCTCTCTCTCTCTCTCCCCCTTTCAAAATAAAAAATGTAGGGGGGAAAAGAAAGTTTTCTAAAAACATTCTAGTATCCATATCCAGCTACATGCAGGTTTTGGATTTGGGGCTTGACTTCCACCCAGTGGCATCAGTTGAGTCGAGTCAAAGTTGGGCAATTATAGAACTTCCAGAAAGCTCTTGGGTCTCCAAGGCTGTGGAGCTCGCTGGTTGACTCGCAGAGCACTGTAGAGGGGAGAAAGCAAGCAAAGGTGTTTTCCTCAATCCTATTTGTTACCAGCAAAGCTCAGTGATTTCTTTCTTCAGCTTAACATAGAAATTTAAAAACCGAGAATCAGTTGTAAACACAAGTTTTATTTGCAAAATGACCAGGTGAACATGAAAAGAAGGAAGGGGAAAACACCTCCAGGGAGGGACCTGGGAGATGGAGTATCTCCTGAAAGGACAGAGGACACACCAGAGGCCCAGGAAGTTGCCCTTTTCACTGAAGTGTCTACTTTCTCGGGATTTTGATGCTCTCCTGTTTGCCAGGACTCAGGACATGCAAACATGGGGCGGGGGGATGGCAGCCCATGGAGAATGGCCTCATAAGGCTTGCCGCTAGTCCTGACAGAGGATTTTGGCAAGCTTGGACAGTTTCAACATTTAGTCATTTGGTTTGGAAAGGTGAAAAAGATCATTCTGGTTCATCGTTGCTTAGGGTAGAATGACAGAGACTGTGTGTGCTTGAGAATTCAACAGAACTTTTAGATTTTAGAAGAGTAATAAAAATGCATGTGCAAGCAGCATCATTTCCAGTGGAATATGGGGCAGTACCCCACAATCAAGCTCATCAGTATTTATGGAGAGAAAAATATGAATATTCATACATCACAGAATAAACTAAAAGTACTAATGTTGGCTCCATATCAAGTATTGGTGCCAAATGTGTTTTTATAAATTCAGTTTTTACCTTTCAACTTCAGAATTTTGAATAAGTGGTTGTAGACATATGGTGCAAGTGATAGAAATAGAAGACATGCCTGGTTGAGTGCTGATGATATTTAATGGAGATGAAGCACAGGACTATTTGAGATCTCCTGCCTCCCCCATTCAGCTAGTTAACTTGGTCTTCCGTTTTTTAATCTGTTTCCTCATCTGTCTAACAGCAGTATTAATTGTGTTGTGAGATATTATAAGAATAGTAAGTTAGTGTTGTGGCAGCATAATTGTGCTGCTTGGACCCCTGGCATTTAATAACAAAATTCCTGGATTCACTTCCTAGCCCTACTTCCAATTCCAACTTCCTGCTAATATGTTCCCCAGGAGGCAGCAGTGATGGCATAAGTGATTGGGTCCCTACCTACCCATATGTCTGAGTCTGTGTTAGTAGCTTTGGCCTGGCCCAAAGGTGGCTATTGCAGGTTTGGGAAAAGTGAACCAATGACAAAGGAGGTAGCTACCTCCACCACCATCCCTCCCCACACCTGTGAGTGTGTGTGTGTCCTCCGTCTATCTGTGTCTTCGTCTCTCTATTCAATTAAAATAAGAATCTTAAAAAGCAAATTAATGTATATTAAACCCTAAACATAATATTGGACACATTCAATAAAGGTTATCTATCAAAATTTCACCTCACTCTATTGTATTAGATGAAAATTTGTAGTGACACTGGAAATAGAGTTAAATGATATGAATTGTCCTAATGTTGTTACTAAGAATTCAGTCTCCATTTTTGTATTAAACTGATTTCCTTTTAAATAACTAGCAGTATCATCTTAACATTTTTTTTTTTTTTTTTTTTAAAGATTTATTTTTATTATTTTCATTGGAAAGGCGGATATACAGAGAGGAGAGACAGAGAGGAAGGTCTTCCGTCCGATGATTCACTCCCCAAGTGAGCGCAACGGGCCGATACTATGCCGATCCGAAGCCAGGAGCCTCTTCCGGGTCTCCCACACGGGTGCAGGTTCCCAAAGCTTTGGGCTGTCCTCGACTGCTTTCCCAGGCCACAGGCAGGGAGCTGGAAGGGAAGCGGGGCTGCCGGGATTAGAACCGGCGCCCATATGGGATCCCGGGCGTGCAAGGCGAGGACCTTTAACCACTTGCGCCACCGCGCCGGGCCCCATCTTAACATTTGTTTGCAAAATGACAATTTTTTTTTATCAAGTGATGTCATATTTCAATCTCCTACTTCATTTTAATCATATTGGAGTAAAGAACAATATTTTTGCCTCCAGTTTGCCATTTTATAGCCTCTGTTAAAGTGTTTGTCCATGTTCTTAATTTAGAGAAATGTTTGACTAAAACGTTTCTCCAAGTACAAGCAAAGATATAACCATTTGTATTTTAAAACAGTGAAAAATGATATTAGGAGGCAGTTCTTTTCTAATTTTACTATCCCCATTCAGGGAAATTGATGGGGTTTTTTTTCATGCAAAATAATTTATTTGAAAGTATGTTTTGTAAAGTGGACCTCTTGTAAAATTGTAAAGTACTTGCTTGTTAAACAAAAGTTTCCCAAGAGCTGACTTGTTGTCAAACTTTTCTAGAGCCTCATTCTCTACTTTGTAGTTCATAACAGAAGTGTCGGCTTCAGTTCTCATGATGTATGTGGGAAACTTTCGTCTATTTTACTCATCTATTCTCTTTGGGTTTTTTCTTAAATAAGAAGTACAGTTTTATTTTCCATGTGCATTTGTAAAACACTTAGAACTAACATCAAAAAGAAAAAAAAAAAATGTTCTGTAGGGAAGATGTTGCTTTAAAAATGGAGTGCTCTAAGGGGTTCGCTATGGCAACTGTGACTGGTCCAAAAAGTAGAAAAGATACTAGAATATAACAGGAGGAAGAATGGGGATTTATTGAGGAAGAGGGCCCTGAAGTGAGCCTTGGAGGGGAAACTGGAGGCAGGGAAGTACTTCTGGGGGAAGAAGGGGGCACAGCTGGTACCACAGCTGGTGAGAGTCTTCGGGGGACCAGTGTACATGAGGGTGCATCCGCAGAGGAGGTCCACACATACCATGTGCAACTATAGGGCCTGGGTGACCCATGGGAGATCCAAACAGAGGGCTTCTCAAGGGCATACCCATTGGAGATGGTCCAGGATGAGGCATCCCAGGCGGGAGTCATGGAGGTGGCTGTCCCCCAGAGCCTGGGGGCCCAGCATGCAGATGTCCTAAGCCCTGAGGGCCACGGTGGGTCAGCTGCGTCTGAGATATCCCTGGATGGGGCATCCACCTGGCAGGAAGGGGTGAAGATGTGAGTGTCCGTGTCTAGCATGTCCAGTCCCTGGGGTTCCTGCTGCCGGAGGGCCATGGCCTCCATCCGCACGGGATGTTGGTGGTGGGGGCATCCCAGGGGGGAGAGCTCCAGGAGGTGGCACACAGGGGTGGGGTGGGAAAAGTTAAGTCATCTTTTCTCTGAATTCATGAAAATGATAGAGGTTTGCTCCACTGAGTGTTTTTGGATCAGAGAATAGATTAGGAGAAGTTCAAGGGCAGAAAGATATTAGCTGTTTGCTGGCCACGTGCCCTCCAGTGCTGCAGGCATGTGTGGCATACTGTGCGGACCTCATACTTACATGTATTGTGTTTCTGCCTTCACAGTTGAACTATCAGCAGAAAGTGGGCATCATGTACTGCAAAGCTGGGCAGAGCACTGAAGAAGAGATGTATAACAATGAAGCCGCCGGCCCGGCCTTTGAGGAATTCCTTCAGCTGCTGGGAGAACGAGTTAGGCTCAAAGGATTCGAGAAGTACCGTGCACAACTAGACACCAAAAGTAAGGAACACTCAGCTGTTCCTCCTAGGCTTTTTTCTTGTTGCTGTGCCGCTGTGCATCTGCTAAATTATCTGTAAAACAGCATTGCCATTCATTGCAGATAGCTGCTGAGATGATGGAGAGAAGCCATAGAGAGAAGCTGTAGCACTAGACCAGTTGAAGATCATAATCAGAGTACCTGGAATTGGGTTGTAAGGAAAAGGATGTGTTCAGAAGTGTGGGCGTGGCTAGGACAGTGATTGCAGATGATGAAAAATTACTCCAGGATATTGTTGCCTACTTTTCATAATGTTTAGCTCCTGTTGGCTTCAACTATTGTTGTCCAAAAGCATCAATCTCCTAGAAGATCATTTTAAATTTTATCTCAAAATCCATCCAAAGACACCTGTGGCCTGTTTTTCTTTGAGAGGGTCTTTGGATTAGCACATCTGTATTGCAATCTATTGTGATATTTCTGATTTTCTGTACAGGAAATTAAATAAGGAGTTGAGTCATGAAAACAGAAAAGCATTCATAAACTCCACTGCAGGGAAGAATTTCCTGTTGCCATGGTTTTCGTTGCCAACTTGGAAACAACATGCAAGAGAGGCTATTAAAACCCATAAATAGCCTAGCCTCTGAAATATTTTAACATTCTGTACTCTGCTTGCAACTGCATCAAATGTTGAATCTCAGGATGCCCTTGGACTGTCTTTATCAAGCTGTTCTTTATAAAGGCATTCGCCCATAGAATCATTCGTACTGTTGTACTGTATAGATTATTATTGCATACAGCTATTGAAAAGATATGAGAATGTACAGCAAGCACCTCTAATTCTGAAAATGAGCAGCAATATTGGTCATTGATATAACAGTGTGGTTTTGTAGTTACATCTTCCCACTTACCTCTTTATGATGAAAGAAAACTTGAAAAATATACAAATAGTGTGGAGCTGGCCAGTGTAGCAACTGTTAAATCAGAGGAATAAACAAATAAAGCATTTGGGGCATATTTTGCTAATATCCCCGGAGCTGCAAAAGCTAGAGAAGGGTGGGCGAGGATTAGCACACCACCTCTCCTTGCACAGTTTCAGGGTAGGTATCAGAATTACTGTGCTTTAAACACTTTAGCTTTTTCAAGTCTCGCCTAACCAACCTCCTGAGGCACGTCTGCTAGAATTCACCGGTTGCTCTCGTCGTTGCATGGTGTCAAGTGTCTCACAGTAATTGAATGACGAGTCAGAAGGTGTTCTTGTTCAGGAACTCAAAGCAAAGCAATTTGCAAACATTTTCTTTTACCCACAAGCTAGTTGGGGGCAAGAACTAGAGTGGAATCCCTTGATCTTGTCATAGAAGCTTATAAAATTGTCAACAGCTGGCCTCTTCACTACCCGAGCAGTTTCACCCTGACTGTTACCACCCAGAAAACAGGCTGTTGCTGTGTGCTGTGACATAATCTCTCCACATTGTAATTAACTTGATTTTTGCATCAAGAAACTTTCTTTCAAGAGAACACGTAAAAAACAAAAAGCATGCTAGAACAAATGTTTCTAAAGGATCATCCCCACAGTACATGTGACTTTGTAGCTTTCATCATACTGAAAGAATAAGCCAATATTCACGTTGTTTTTTACTCAACAATGTACCACGGGTGAATGAGTCTGTTCACTATTGGGAAAGGAGAGTGCATGGGAACTCAACCTCTTCTCTGTTCTTCCCTTTGAGTAATCCCTATTCAGTTGTCTTCATGGAGTGAGTATTGTGGTACAGCAGTTTGAGATATTTGCATTCCATATCTGAGTGCTGAATCAAGTCCTGGCTAGTCTGCCTGTGGTCCAGCTTCTGGCTAATGCATTCTGGGAAGCAGCAAGTGATGGTTCCACTGATTGACTCCTGCCACCCATTTGTGAGACTCCTTGCTTCTCCTTGGTTCAGTCCTTTTGTGGACGTTTGAGGAGAATTAGCAGATGGAAAACCTGTCTCCCTCTCTATGGAAAAATCAGTCTCTCTCTCTCCCTCTTTTTTATGTTTCTTTTCTCTCCCTCTTCTCTCCCCCACCCTACTCTGTCTTCCTTGGCGGGTATGTGTGTGTGTGTCTGTGTGTTTTTATGAGAAGATGTCTTCAAACGCATTATGTTCTTTCTCTTCCATTGGACCTTTTTCTGTTGTTTATCCAATCTGATGAGATTTCCATTTCCATTTAAGATCTTGTGTTTTGCAGGGCCAGAAGTTGTTCTTAATCATCTGCTTTTATGACTTCTTTTCTCATCATGCCCTTTTAGATCTTTGAACATACTTTTTAATTTTTTTAAATTTTATCGTGAAGGCAGATTTAAGGAGAAAAGGAGAGACAGAAAGATCTTGCATCTGCTAGTCATTCCCCAAATGACCCCAGTGGCTGGAGCTCAGCTGATCTGAAGGCAGGAACTTGGTGTTGCTTCTGGGTCTCTCAGATGGGTGCAAGGTACCAACGCTTTGAGCCATATTTTGCTACTTTGTCAAGCCACAGAGAATTGAAAGGGAAGTGGGCCAACTAGGACATGAACTGGTGCGCATACGGGATCCCAGTGCTTGGAAGTAGAGGACTAGCCCATTAAGCTGATGTCAGCTGAGTGTCAGGTCCTGAACCTCTTAGTAGTGGCTACTTTAAAGTCTTCATTTACTACATCTATCATCTGTGTTTTTTCCTTTTTCCTTGGGGAAATAGGGATCCATCTTTTAATGGATTTTCAAATATTGGATGTTGCAAATACTCCATTTTTAATGTTTTCATAAAGAGCAAATTTCTTGTATTTCATATATACAGATTTTAGGGCCTAATGATATTTCCCTTTCTATCCTCCCTCCTTTTCTCATTGCCATCTTTCCTCTTTTTTATCCTTTAGTTTTAGCAGTGAAGTACATTAAATTTACTTTTTGATCACAGTCTTAACCCACTACGAAATAAAGAGTCCAAAAAGTAGTTAGTAGCAAAACCACTGTTCCACAAGTGAGTGAACTAAGGCTATTAATGGTAATCAAATCTCAAGACATGAATTCCATTCATATACAGTGCATTTTTTGTACTATGTGTATTACCACATATGTAAGTCGGGAAAATATATTTGCCTTTTGGGGACTGGCCTCGGTTCATTAACCACAGTGATCTCCAATTGCATCCATTTTGTTGAGAACGTCAGGATTTCATTCCATTTTATAGCTGAATGATATTTTATCATGTGTATATCACAGTCTATCCAAATATCGTTTGATGGGCACCTGGGTTTATTTGAAAGCTTAGCTATTGCGAGTTGAGCTGCTATAAACTTGAGAGTACAGATAACTCTTTCATTTGCACATTTCATTTCTTTGAATATATTCCCAGAAGTAGAATGGCTCATTTGTTTGGTAGATCCATGTTCAGATTTCTGAGGAATCTCTCCACTATCTTTCATAATGGCTATACTACTGTACATTCTAACCAACAGTGGTTTAGGGTTCCTGTTTTTTCCAATTCCTTGAAAATGCTTGTTATTTTCTCACTTTTGCTTGAAAGCCATTCTTGCTGGAATGAATGAGCCTGCATTGTGGTTTTTACTCAGATTTCTATGATGAGATCCTGAGATCTTTTCATGTGCCTCTTGGTCATTTGTATTTTATCCTTGGTTAATGTCCTTTGCCCATTTCTTAACTGGATTATTTTATTATTCTTGAGTTTCTTGAGCTCCTTATAGCAATCTTTTATCAGCTGTTTAGTGTGCAAACATTTTCTCTATTCTGTCTGTTGCTTCTTTTTACTTTACTGGGGTATTTCCTTTGTAGAAGTGCCTTACCTTGAGATAATCCCATTGGTTTTTGCCTTTATTGCGTGTACTTCTGTGGTCTTAACCTAGAACTCTTTGCCTATGCCAGTGTCTTGGAGTGTGTCCCTTGTGTTTTCCTCTACTAATATGATAGACTTAGTTCTTACATTTAGGTCCCCGATGCATTGTGAATTGATAACTGCCCTATAATATGACTTCAAAGTGGGTATTGTGATGCCTCTGACTGTGTGTATCTTTGTTTAGATTGCTTAACTATTTGGGGTCCTTTGTGATTCTATATGAATTTTAAGTTCATTTTTTCTCCCAGATTTGAGAAGAACATTTTTGCTATTTTTATTGAGATTGAATTGAATATGTACATTATTTTGGGTAGCATGGGCATTTCATAATGGTGTTGATTCTACCAAACCATGAGCATATAAGATTTTCCATTTATCTGTGTCTTTTAATTGTTTGTGATTTTCATTGTAGAGTTCTTTCATACCTTTGATTAAATTTCCCCAGACATTCAGTTTGTTTTTTTTTTTTTGTAAATATTGTGGTTAGTACTGATCTCACAAATTCTGTCTTAGCCATGGCGTTTTTGTTTGTGCGTGGCTATTGCTTTTCCTGTGTTGATTTTCTGTCCAGCAACTTTGCTAAACTCTCTTCTTATTTTTTTTTTTTTTAAAGATTTATTTTTATTATTTTTTCATTGGAAAGGCGGATATACAGAGAGGAGAGACAGAGAGGAAGATCTTCCATCCGATGATTCACTCCCCAAGTGAGCGCAACGGGCCGATACTATGCCGATCCGAAGCCAGGAGCCTCTTCCAGGTCTCCCACGCGGGTGCAGGTTCCCAAAGCTTTGGGCTGTCCTCAACTGCTTTCCCAGGCCACAAGCAGGGAGCTGGAAGGGAAGCGGGGCTGCCGGGATTAGAACCGGCTCCCATATGGGATCCCGGGCGTGCAAGGCGAGGACTTAACCACTTGCGCCACCGTGCCGGGCCCTAAACTCTCTTCTGAGTTCCAGTTCTCTCTTAGAATCTCTCTATTCCCCCTATACGGGATAATATCATCTGCAAATAAAGATAATTAGATAATTTGACTTCCTCATTTGTATCCCTTTGATTTCTTTTTCCTGCCTAATGAATGGTTTTCGCTAAAACGTGCAGAATTCTATTGGTTGTGATAGAGTGGGCATCCTTGTCTTATTCCAGATGTTAGTGGAAATGCTTC